GAAGGAAACCTACATAATTGCATTAAGAAGTAAGAAGAAGGAAGATGGGGAATGGATCTCGACGGACACATGGTAGAGGAGAGGAGGTTGGCGACGCAGAACACAAACTAGTACAAGGATGAACAACGAAGAGAGGAACTGAGTACAACGTATAAAACACTTCACTGGACAAAGAAGTGAAGAAGAGTGCGCACAAAGACAGAAGACACTCCTACGACACACCTGCAAGTGCAGCAGAACAGGTTCCAGGTAGGAGAGACAGAGACCTGACAACATTCTATCAAATAACCACCTTACCACCTGGGAGGGAAGGGACCAACACATGTGAAACGAATGAAGGATAGTGAAGGAAACTTAGTTACCGCGAAAAGGAGAAACAAAGAAAACGATGAGCTGACCACTTCAAAAAAACTCCTGAATCGACCACCATCACCACCATCTGCAACTCGTCCAGAAATACCACCAGCAGCAACTGGCAAGCGCAGAATTACCGGTGAACACAGACCCTCCGACAAAACCAGAGGTCAAGTTCTGGACGTGATAAAGTTGCTGAAATCCGGGAAAGCAACAGGACCAAATGGAATTCCTCTAGAAGCATTAAAACAAAAGACACAGCAACAACAGCGGACATGCTGACACCACTACTGCAGAAGGAAGGAAGGCACGAAGGAAGGAAGGAAAGGTACCTGCCCATTGATTGGAGGCAGGACTACCTCGTCAAACGTCCACAAAATAAGGGAGACGTAAGTCATTGCAATAAGTCATGCGGAATCATGCTCCACTGCCGTCGAAACCAAGCAGAATATCAAACCGCATCATCCTGGAGAGACTAAAAGGAAAATGCTGTGAATTCAAAATTAAGGCCGAAACAGGCTGGCTGGCTGGCTGGCTGGCCGGCTTCAGGAAGAACAAATAATTTGCAGATCACATTACAACGCTACGCTACGCACCATCATACAACAGAGCGTAGAATGATAGTCAGCTCTCTACCTCAACTTCATCGACTTCGAAAGTGCCTTGGATAGCGTCGACCGAGAAGTAATTTGGCAGGCAGCTGCTTTTACACTGTTTTACACGGTTTCAGTGCCACAAACCGTTATCAAGCTCATTCAACTGGATCGTGCAAGAAACCATGAGGAGCCGTGAGAAGGGGCATATAGGCTGGCTGGCTGGACTGATGAAAAGACCCTAGAATATTTGGATTTCGCAGATGATGACTTATATCTAATATCTTGTATCGCACAAACTCGATAATCTGTAGGTGGAAACCGACAAGTTGGCCAAAATGGCGAGGCAGTGAAAACGGGACTTCAAGTGAACGTAGAGAAGATGGAGGTGATGAAGAAACCGTACCAACAACAACATCAACAACGAGAAGCACCAATCACCATCAACGGGTGAAATCTGAAGGAAGTAGACTCTTTCACCTACCTAGGCAAGACAGTATCGTTTCAACTACAGGGGGCACAGGCACAGATGAGGACGTCAAAGTCAGGATCGGAAAGGCAACCAGACAGGCCTTCCTTCATGAATCTGCATTGCACTGCACTCAGCATAAAGCGTGAACAAGATGGGATTTTCAACTCTAATTCATTCAAGTAACTGCCTCTATGTGGTGGTTGAGAGACTTGGGGGGTCACAAACAGCATTTCCAACAAACTGCAGACAGTCATCAACGCTCACTCAATACTGAAGATGAGATCGGATTGCCAGAATAATGAGAATTAGCAAGAAGGAACTCTGGCTGGCTGGCTGGTTGGTTGACTGGCAACGAATCAACCAAGAACCCATCACCCAATAAATATGCAAAATGAAGTTGAGATGGATTTGACTGGGCATTCACTGAGAAGACGGTTTGGGGACATCATGCGCCAGGTCTGGCCAGTCCAGGCCATTGAATGGAAGCTGAAGTGGAAACGACGACTTGAGCGTCCGAGGTGATGGTGACATGGAGGAGATAGTTTGAGGAAGAAGTGAAAACTGTTGGGCAGTGGTGAAGTCAGGTTGAAAAGAGTGGAGAGAAGAGAGTGAAATCGAGACGTGTTACTGAATCCCTTTATTCCACAGTGCCACAAACCGTTATCAAGCTCATTCAACAGCTAGCTATATGAAGACGCCACATGCCAAGTGATTCACAATGGAAAGCTCAGCTCAGTGATGCCTTTGAAGTGAAGACGGGAGTAAGACGAGGCTTCCGTCTACTATCACTGATGATCCTCCTGATTGTGGTCAACTGGACTGAACTGGATCGTGCAAGAAACTGTGAGGAGCCGTGAGAAGGGGCATATAGGCTGGCTGGCTGGACTGATGAAAAGACCCTAGAATATTTGGATTTCGCAGATGATGACTTATATCTAATATCTTGTATCGCACAAACTCGATAATCTGTAGGTGGAAACCGACAAGTTGGCCAAAATGGCGAGGCAGTGAAAACGGGACTTCAAGTGAACGTAGAGAAGATGGAGGTGATGAAGAAACCGTACCAACAAGAACAACAACAACGAGAAGCACCAATCACCATCAACGGGTGAAATCTGAAGGAAGTAGACTCTTTCACCTACCTAGGCAAGACAGTATCGTTTCAACTACAGGGGGCACAGGCACAGATGAGGACGTCAAAGTCAGGATCGGAAAGGCAACCAGACAGGCCTTCCTTCATGAATCTGCATTGCACTGCACTCAGCATAAAGCGTGAACAAGATGGGATTTTCAACTCTAATTCATTCAAGTAACTGCCTCTATGTGGTGGTTGAGAGACTTGGGGGGTCACAAACAGCATTTCCAACAAACTGCAGACAGTCATCAACGCTCACTCAATACTGAAGATGAGATCGGATTGCCAGAATAATGAGAATTAGCAAGAAGGAACTCTGGCTGGCTGGCTGGTTGGTTGACTGGCAACGAATCAACCAAGAACCCATCACCCAATAAATATGCAAAATGAAGTTGAGATGGATATGATTGGGCATACAGTGAGAAAACCATTTGAGACATCAGGCTCCAGGCCAGGCCATCGCGTGGAAGCCAAACGGGAAATGACGAGTTGGGTGTCTGACGATGACATGGAGGAGATCATGCGATGAAGAAATGAAAGCCGTAGGTAGTCGTGGAGCCAGCTTCAAAGGACTGCAGAGAAGAGAGAGAAATGGCTATGTGCTACTGAAGCCCAATGTTCAACTGGGAACCCAAGGGAAAAATAATAATAATAAAATAGTGCTTAGGAAAATAATTTGGCGAAAACAGGTTTAAACACGGTAGTATAATTTTACTGCTTTCTTGGTGAAACAGCAGTGACGATAACTAACTTGTGTAAGAGTGAAGGAAAAGTTGTTAATTTCATGTTACTTTGAAAAACCATATAAACAGTTAACCAGATCTAGAAAATTTCAAAACATCACATGCATTAACTATGACATTTGCTTTCGCTTGACAATGTGATACTTTATTCAAAAGCGAAAACAGTATAGAAACAACCAAAAAGTACAAATCTTTCTGGAGTAAAGTCATCCTTCCCTAGCATTTGAAACCGCACTTCTAGAAAATAGCTAATAATTATTATTTGCTATCTATCGTTGGTATTTACCAACCATTAAAAAAAAGTTGAAAGGAAACGTGAATCACCTGAGAATTCTAACCAGCAGACGCCTTCAGAGGCTTCGCATAACCTAGGCATTCATAAGTAAGCTAATAAGGAGGCATTAATGTTAAGTTGCGTTACGTTACTAGAGTTCTTGATAAATATACTTTCTCAGGTCATCATGAAGAGAACCTTTCTCTAGTATAGGATCCTCAAAACCTGTTGGATAATGTACATTAAGCTCATTAAGCTCATTAAGCTCAACCTGTTCATATTGTATCAAGATACAAGCTAAGTACGATAATAGACTAAGTAGGAAACTAAGAATGCTGCCAAAAGGTACAATTAGAATGGGTACTACTTATGACTTCAGTTACTATGAATTTAATAGGAAATGGAATTGCCAAGATATTAAAGAAACGACTCCAACTTAGTGGGTGATTAGCTCCATCAACCTACGGATTTATTCTCGAGCTTAAAAAAAATTCAAGAGTGCATAGATTACAAACTACAGTTGACGTTAGTTTTCATGCACAAGAGTGAATCCATCAAACTTGACTATATAAGTATAAATGAATAACTTTCCCATACACCAAGTGCTAACGTTTTTCTAGATGTTTTATAACATAGCACATATGCTGTTGAAATTTCTCATTTTGATTTTATAGTGATATTCATTACGGACGGACATAAGTTGGAGAATCATTAAAAACTTGGGAGCTCTGGACAAATATTTCGTCCTATTATGGAACCCCTCAGTGGCACGTACCGATGAACACCCGAGGGTGTTATTTGTACGTTTCAGAGAAATTGTGAGCTCTAGATATTCATACTGAGTGAAGTGACTGTACAATGGAAAACAGAAATTTAAATAGAAACAAACAATCATATTATCAGTATGACTAAAACTGTTGTTCTCGCTTTGAGGCACAACAAAATCCCAAGAAAACCCAAATGCTGAATTTGACATTGTGGTCTAAGGGCGACTTTAAAGGCCACCCTAGCAACAACTGAAATAACCAACCAGACTACTCTATTTTATGAAAATCTGCCTTTCCAGCCAGAATGAAGAAACCTAATTGGTCGTTTCTATTGTTGCTATGGTGGTCTTTAAAGTTGCCCTGGTCTAACTGCAATGCAAATAACACAAACAATTGATACCGCAGCCTCCATATTGGTAAAGTCAAAATCTCAGTACCTAATAGGAGCCTTCGACTATAATAAAGTGGGTTACTTTTTCTTCTCGAAATTCCGTGCCTTTTCCTAAGCTCTTAGTTTGTGAAATAGACCGAACCGGTAACGGTGACAACATGAACTATGGAATGGTTCTTAAAAAGTACTTTAGAATCCTTTAATAGATTCAACCATCAAATAAAGAGATAATTGTAAACAATATCATCAGAAAGAAACATGTAATTCGTACCTCGTTTGGCCCATAGCTGGATGACTGACAAGGTGGGAATGGAGGCAATGAACGATTGGCACCGAAATTTGCTACCAGTCGATATTCACAGACAGCTCCGTATAAATTTTCAGACCTTGTATCATCAGAAATCATACTTACTATGCCAAGTCCCTCCTTTTGTCCATTTTGATGGGGGTGCTGCTGTTTCGCATAAATGAGTAACTTATATGCCCCAGGTCTTGGTGGTCGAATGTAGAAAACAGAAGTATGCTCACGTATCATTGTTTCTTGTCTACCGTACCGACTAGATTGAAATAAACAGAAAGAATCAGGAGTTGGATATAAACACATGACATATTTCCTTTGAACAATTCATTATTATAAAAATACTAACATTAACAGAAAATATTGCATATAGTTTATGCACAAAGGAGAGAGCGTGGATATATACTTTAACTTTAGATATAATTGTACGGAAGTAAACAAACTTTCTAAATTAGGAACGATAACAAAATATAACTTGAGACTTCAATTTCAGTGTACTTTGGTAGTTCATGAATAAGGGGGGCATTTTGTTCCTAGTACCATTTGTTTACAGAACAAATAAACTATAGTTTAAGAATAAATAGCAAAAAACAGTGGGTTCTAGAATTAATTAATTAGTACTCCTGATATAAGGTATACTCATGCATCGAGTAGCGATTCGGGTATATGTTGCACACATTCAACAACCTTCTATTTCAAATTATAGAATTAGTTGCAGAAGTCTAGTGATGGTGAGAACAAAGTCCTAAAGTAATTAATGAAGTTATTAACAGTTGATTAAAGTTGTATATAAAACCATGCTGGTTTATCGATTGCATTTCCTGTTAGAAAGGAAAAAATAGGATTAGAGAAACTAAATAGTATGACAGATGCCTTCAAACTTAGTCCAATGAGAACAACGTGCAGCTGAAATGTTTTTCATCTTTAAATCAGGTCGATGGTTTATTAGGAAATTTATTTAATGGTTAGATGCACATTTTATCTTTTTTCTTTGCAGAATGAATGTAAACTCTATTCAAAATTAAGTAAACTTAGGGAATGCAGTGTGCAAAAAGTAGGACCTATCATAACTACACATGCTGGATTAAAAGCTTAATAATTTACTTGAAGGCATAAAGTAAGATACTCACGTTAAAGGAATTCCACGATATTCTTCACTCCCTTCTTGATTATCAAAAGACAAGCCAAATGTAAATGACAAATAATTTTCAGCACCAGATGGGAAGGCTATAACGATACGAGCTTCTGGGTCTGAGCATAAGATAACTGCATTACGATGTGTAATGAGGTCCAAGTTGTATTTGAAAAATGCTGACTTGACTGGAGCGAGATTTTCAAACTCCTATGAATTAAACATTTCGATAAGTGAGAGAAAAAATACAGTTGGGAATAATTTCATGCCTTACAAAAAAATATGTTGAAATCATCATGAATTTGCATAAAAATTACTGAACAACTAAAATATTACAGTGTTTGCTACTGATTATTGCGCGAAGAGAGAACCCAATCAGTAAAAAATCGTTTGAATATACCAAAACCATTGAAATGTTTTTGACAATATCCATGCTGAAACAGCAAAGCGGTTACCACAATGTTTAAGCTACTTGAAAAGTATTATCATAACCCTTATCATGTGGTTTCCTTTGCATTGCTTTAGCAGTTGTTACTTTCAACCTCAAGGACACAGAAACTAATTCAAAGTCATTTACCTGGTTTGGAATACCTGAGGGTTACATTCAGGTTTTATTTCTAAATACACAAAAATGAAATTCGTTTTTGCATTAGTGAGTTAGATATCTATTGACAAACCAATAAGTTCGATTATGATGTGGTTCTCTCTAAACCCTTAGATATTTTAAATGAGACAATGATATCTTCAGCCACATGAAAATCAGTAAAACCCATCATATATCTTTATGACGTAAAACCTCCACGAAAGAGGAAAGGAAGAGCTTTTTAAAAGCAAAAGGTTTCGAAAACGAAAGTGGAATGTCAAGAAAATATTTGATCTAAGGCATTCGCCATATAACAGGTTTGCCTGCTACACAAGTTACAAGTAGCACATTAAGGAGAATTGATAAGACGACGGGATCATATGAAATACTCTAAGGTATATTTACCGAAGGAAAAATCGATCTGGATTCTTCGTCCAACCTGTTAAAAGAATGTACATCAAGTGTTTTATAAAAAATAGTAAGGACTTTACAACTAGGTTTATTGGCTTTAGTAAACTGATATAGTATCCAAAAAAAATCAAGTACCCAGTTTGTGGACCATGCACAATGACCGATAATTAGGATTTAACAGCTATTAACAATTGTGCGGTCATTGCGAATGATGTACATTTGTGAAGTTATATTTTCTTGTGTGAAAATACTATGCCTAAACCATAGAACAACAGTGAAGACCTCAAGTCATTGATCAAGCCTTTCTTGCAAGCCGCTGAATTAATAGAATTACAAACTTTACGCCAAATCATTCAGTTTACGTTCATTACATCACTGGTGATAATTTACATTTGAACTGTATTAAAAGTTGTCCAAAATATACTACTACTGACTGATGTAGTGGCGACCAGTCGGATAAAGATTATATAAACACCATATGATCATCTAGCTTGTTTAAGGTTCAGTTTATCAACCGTGCACCTGGAATGATTTTATGAACTATGTTGATTAGTCGCTATCAGTTTTGAATTTCTGACAGTGTGCATCTTTATTTGGCTCACTTGCTAATCATAGACTGAAGATATGGTCTAGCTTCCACCTTTGTGAGTAGCTAACCGATTGCGTCCACAGGTAAGATATCTGATACAGATACCCTGAAAACCAAGCTCACCTTTTAAGTTGGCTGCTTTCAACTATCGTTACTTGATGTACTTCAAACAAGAGACATCGCACTAGCCGATTGAAATTTTCATTAACGGTCATTACGCACCGTTATACTAAGTTTCTTAAGGTTTATTAGAAAGTAAATAATAGTGAAAACAAAATATCAACATCTATGCTTATGTTCCAAGAGAATATAGCTGAGGATGAGTTCTAATATAAATTGAGTGACTTGCACGACCAAGTGCTTTCGACAGACATCATCATGAAACTAATTGGAAATCGAGCCATAAGTGACCAATGGGAAATATATAATCAGATAATGGCAATCGTTTTGTGGAGTTTTGTGCAGATCACAGTCTATTTCTAGTCTTGCTTCGCTTCTGCCAATCAAGCTTATACACAGATATATCATATGGCAACTAGATGCCCATATTGTTAGTGGATTCAATAGTGTTTCTTCCGGAGTAACTGTTTAAATTTTTATCACGTTTTACTGTGTAGTTAGTTTCTTTCGTATTTTTGCGATCATCAAAGCCATCATCATGAGTAGGTTAACGCAAGAGTACTGAGTGTGCTCGGTACTGCAGTTACGTACTGAACAGACCATGATTCAAGACTAGTTACTGGGTCTCCTGGAAGTATAGATGAGCACTGACTGCACTCACAAGACAGGATGAAAATGGAAACTGAAGTCGCTTGTGGTTTTGAAAAGAGATAGAAAAAATCTATCTAACATTCTCAGAACATGGCACAAAACAGTTCATCTGGAGTGAATGCATACAAACGCAGTTCTCCATCTTTCCAAACCAACAGCAGAATTAATTGATGATAAGCTTAGAACATTGCTGTAGAAGGTAACCAGGAGCGATGATGAAGATCCGCTACCGGGAGATATATGTTTTGACCTAGGGTATACAGGTGACGCCGTTTTACTGTGTGATAACATACATGCCACTGAAATTATACTTTATGAGTAGGTTATCAATGTTCATAGATATGGTGTGGGATTTGCTCCGACAAATGGTAAGAAATCTTAAAGATTAGCAGGATTCTGTACATGTACTCACCAAAGAAGTTGGGACGTTCACGCATCTAGGTTGTTGTGCGGGTGCTAGTGGAGGTGTAACGGATGAGATATCTAACCGAATATCAAAAGCCGGAGTTGTACTTGCTAGGCTGAGTCACCCACTGCGGTGTCGTTACGTCAGTGTTGGTGTAAAAAACTAGGTGTACAAAGCTTTTATGATCAATCCTACTCCACGTCTATGAAACCTGGTCTCTTTGAGCTAAAGATATCCAACGACTCAGTGTTTTCGATGACCGTTGTCTCCGTAGGATAGTTTACACCCTATGAGAACATAATATACGTATTCTAAGGTCATGATGAGCATGTTAGGAAATGATGGGGATATCATCCAGTTTGCCAGCCCTGGGACTTCGTCAGTATATTAGGTGATTTGGAATAAAGAATAGCTGTATCAAGGTTAGAACTGGTAGTGAATTACACATACGAAGATATGATCTAAGCTATAACGGTAATCAGTGATTGTTGTTAGATTTAGCTTGATTAAAACCCTTAGGTAAGATAGAATTGATTTTGAAAGTACTGCTCTTTATTGAATCGTAATAAGTGGGAATTTTAATTTTACGCTTACAATACAGTCAGTCAATGTGAACATAAAATCTGGCATTATATTCATTAAATGTGAATAGCACAGGCGAAAAACTTACTTTAAGAGTAATTGGGTGACGTAATAACTGCCAGTCAGGATCATGAGGGAAATGAGTATAAATTAATTGACTTGGGTTAGCTAAGAAATAGAACATATCCAATCCGTAACGTACATTATCTGGACTAGGACGTTTCCCAATTAAACGACGAGCAGCCCAATGACAATCGATTAGACGCCATACTTTGTCAATAAGTACTGCATTCCAGGAATGTTGACCTTGACGACCTGAAAAATGCATACCTGGAGCATATTCGGCACCTTTAGCATAGCCAATTAACAGTTTACAGTGTAAGCCAGCATAACTGATTAGAAAAAAACAGTAATACAATGATGAAAGTTCAAACCAACAAATGTGGTAGGAATCGAAAGGAAAAAATAAGCGGACGAGAAACGTAGACTGATATGATAATTGTTTCAAACTTCAATAAACTAGGCAGCACTAAAACAGCAGGTTTGGCAGGATGTGAGCTCATTTTTATTATTTTGAGGATTAACTTGAAGTGCATACAACTTACGCAATAACGAAATGTAAATGTAAACAGAATCGAGCATAGCTGTATCAAGGTGACAAGAAGTTATCAACAGGATCAACTGGTGGCAAAATGCAAATGATCAAAATAGAAGAGATCTTTAGAATTGTGAAAGGATGATTGACGATTATTAGGTGAATATTCTTGAAGTTTAAGAGGCGGTAATGTGTTTACAATAAAATTTATGCAAACTTTCGATACGCCACTCCGTCTAACACATTTTGTTCCAAGTCAAACCTTGATTTATATCCGAGCTATGCTCACCTTACTCCTCAGGCCCTTGTAAATTCAAAACATTAGGAAGTTATGCAATCTATGCTACTTATTTTCCATTAACTTCTTAAATTTTTTATTCAAGGACATTCACCTGATAGCAGGTGATGAGTGAAGATGAAGTGACAATTTTTGCCTAGTGAGGACTCGAACCAGTGATCACCAGTGGTTCCAGTCCATTCGCAGCCCAAATCTTCATTTCACCTTAAATCATCTCCCAGTATGAATACTAGTCCACCGAACCATGGTTATCTCAGTCAGAATGATGATTCATCTAATAATCATATAGTGATATAATGATTCTCAATTCAAAGGAGATCAACTGACGGGATAAGTAGTTAATTGCATATCCCCAATACTAGTTAAACAAACCTCTTTGTTTAGTTTCAAAAACTGCAAAGAGGAAGATGGAAAATTTCGCATCTTTGCCTAACTAATGCCCTTTCTGAATCTCTGAAACACATTTGCTATTCAAAACTTCTATGATTTATCATCAGTTAGAAACCTAACCATCTGTGGTTCAAAGAAGGTGAAAGTGACTTGTTGGTCAATAAACTACATAAAAGACCTTTTTGAGACTTAAGTAAAACGGTATACAGTCGGAACAGCAGTAACAGTGTACCTACTAAATAAGTTTTACACACTATCAAGAAAATTTCTTAGTGTTCATATTCTACTATGGAAATAAAAAGCTATAGGGTATGCGAAGAATTTTGGAACAAACAAAACTTAAACAACCTACAAAATAGGTATTATTCTGTACACTCCATCATTATTAGCCATAAAAAAGTTATTTGTTCGACTAAACTAAAAACAGGTGTTAAACGATGTTAGAGAAAAAGGAGATTATACCATAATAAAATCTGTAAGCTTGCCTCTGAAAATAAAGACTTAGATTAGCAAAAAGGGGATGGATAATAAGGGACCAAAAAAGGCAAAACGTAAGAATTGTTAAATATTAAAATATAAGGTGATAACAGTAATAATTGTACCTGTGTTAGTCTTGTGAAGCAGTAATCATATAGTCAATAAATGAGACTAGATATACTAGTAGTGTATAATATTTATGTACATATAGACATGGAGTTGTGGCTCATTGATTCAAGGAGATGACTTTCAACTATTGAGCACGGGCTCGAACCCCACTCTACCTACCCAGATTTAGACAATCAGGTAGTATCGATAGCCCACATACAATAGGTGTGACTTATTTCTTACTGCATGAACGTGCACAAGGTTGATGAGTGCATATATAGACAGTATCTTCATACAGCTGAATCACAATCTTATTGGTGCAGGAAGGAAGTGGACGATTGTACAAGATATCGAACAATAGTATACTAGCCTATCACGTTGATCTTCATGAATAAGGGTAAAATAAAGAAGTATCACTAGATGGTTATGGCAATCCAGCTTAAACTTATTGAAAAAAAGTCCACAGTTAGTAAGTAGGAATATCAGACTTTGTAAAATATACATAAATTACAATTTGTGAGAAATGAGATATATACATATTTTCGGTTGTTTATATTTCTATCCGAGTAAGGTTGAAGGTTTTAAAATACTGTTACGAAAAGACTCGGTACACAAAACGTTCTATTGGGATTTATCAAAAGCATGGCACGTCGTTTATGTTAGGAACTGAATTGTCAGAGTAATTTTGTACATTTATGATCTGTCCTTTTGAGTTCAATGTTTGTCTGTCTTGCGAGTTCCACCAAGCGTCGAGAGCACTAGTCCAGGACGTCAATGTAACCACGAATTGAATAATTATTCATCGTACGTCAAAGTAATATGCCAGCCACTGATACAAATCAACGTTCATCGATGGGGAACCTGGTATTACCACTCTGTTAAGTGAGATGACACTGTGTGATGAAGTCTTTCATCACAGAAGTTGAGAAGTCAATATTGGGAACCACTTAGCATAGGTACACAAACCAAGAAATAACGTAGTCTGTGCACTCAGCGATTCCTAGTCTGATCTACGAAGAGTAGCGTAAGTTTCATAAATGGGATCAGCAAGAAAACCAAATCGATCGCGGTGTTATAAATGGTGTATTTCCACCCTATCCTGATATAAAACTTGAAAAGAACGTTATTTGAGTTTAATCACTTTACTACCTTTTTCTTTCATGATTCCTAATACATATTTTTCCATCTTACTATCATATTTGTTGATGGCACTTCGATAAACTGAAGCGAATGCGGTAACGTTGAACGATACATAGTTTTTCCCAGTGCTACTTTGTATATGTTTACCTGCCTATTTTTGAACCTAAGCATTTTCTTCTCAGTCCTCATCAATAAGGCGCATATATCATAAACCTTTGATGGTTCAAGTAAACAAGTTAAAAAAGGAGCACAGTAAGACGAATTTATATTTTTAGCTAATACATGAAATTTAGATCAAGAGGTTTTTGTTCACAACCTCTAAAGTAACTAACACAAAAAAATACTCACCGACACAGTGTATAGAAGATTTGTGCATAGGTAGATTTCCCAGTGCGTATACCCATTAGAATTTCCTCAGGACTATCGGGTTTTACATAATCGAAATTCATTTTATGCAAATCTTTAGTACACAACCATAAGAAGATAACACGGACTTTCTCTAGTTCGTCCGTGATATTACGTGCATATATCAGCTGCCAAATCAATTGATTAAAGTTATCCTGTTGTTGTTGTGATACTGAAACAGCATGTTCGTCAATCCGACGAAATACCTATATTTTTTTAAGTAAGTAGAAAAGTGTTAAAAAAACATATAGGATATAATAAAATCTCCTATAAGAAAACGCAATTAATTATAGTACCGCAGTTCGGGAAACAAAAATGATTCACTAAGATAAAGTCTGCAAATCGAATAAGGAATTTACATAATATCTACATCCTTTTTGTCAATGTCAAAATACCGTTAGTTTGGTGAAATATGATCGCAGAATATTAGTACTTATCAACCAGAACACAGAGTAACTTTGAAGCTTCTCTTCAGTGTGGTTGTGAACTTGTATCGACCCAAGTCGTTGGAGCGTTTGTTACGCATAGTCGCCCACCACTTATCTCATGTCATCTATCGTACGTCTTGGTAATTGTTCATTAGAGCTTGTATTAGACAAGTGAGTGTATCAACAAGGTATTACCTCTTACTTTGAGAACAATTAACATCTATAAATCTTCTAACCTCCGTCTAAAGTATTAAGTCACAATCTCAGGTAGCCAGTCAATCAATATATATCAACATGGGACGTGACATTACTGCGTAATGGTTGAAGTTGTCACACTTCCTATCAGTACATCAAGCCAGAAGGTAAGAAAATAAAAAAATAGAGAGAAAAGGAAGAAAGTATTTAGAAATGATAGAAAATTGTGAAGAGAGAACAATATGGAATAAGACAATAATGAAATTCGGTATGATGATTAAGAAGGTAATGTGTGGGTGCATCTGTACCACTCCGATGGATTAAAAACAGTACAGAATAAATGCTCCAGCTATCTGAGTCGATGAAGGTTCGCAAACGCATCAAATGATCTTCCTTTTCTCCCTCAAACTCTACACCTGGCTTCCATTTCACTGACATGGTGGTAACACGACACACGACTTATGCTACACAGGTAACGGTGGTCAAACACCAGAAGTCTTCTCATTTCCTCCACCTTAAATGGTCACATCTCAAAGCCTTATAATAGAACAAAGTGGACCGCAGTGTAATACACTCAGCCCTTCATAGAAAGTCAAATATCACTGCGGCACCACAAATGGCGATAGCCAAGAGAGTTTTTTTTGTCTGTGCGGAGATTTCTTCAGTCACTCAGCCACCAGGGTCAGTTCGACTTCCAAGGTAAGCGAAGTGGTCAACGCGCTAAAACACTTCGAGCAAACGCAGACCAATTCTGGAACAACAAATTGCATTTGGGTAGCGAGAAATGTATTTAAACGCCCTCAAATTATCATCCAAGGTAACCAAAAGACTCTGCATCTTACCAGGGTTTTCTCATAACAGGACTATGTCATCTGCGTACTATGCATCTACTTAGGACTGTCCTGTGATAAGATAAATCCCTGTGGAGCCAGATGACGAGGGGGAGACCTCTGTAAGACAAAACTGAACAGGAATGAAGAGAGTGGGCATCCTTGACGGAAACTAATCGATGTACACAGTTTACCTGACAATATAATATAGGCTCTAACACGTCAATGAGTGTTCGAATAAATAGCACTTACTCAGTACACTTTCCAGTGAAAGACACTGCCATAAAACCTCACGATCTACGGAGTTGAAAACCGCCTCCAGGTCAAGAAATACCACCAGTATCGAGTGTCTGTAAGTGTGCATGTGCTCCAAGTCTAACGCCTACCTGATTTTCGCTGCTTAATTTTTTCCAAGCTTCACATGGTGTAAAATGAATACAGAACCTAAAATCTTACAGACTATGTTCGTCAGGCTGATTTCCCTGTAGTTATCATGCGAGGATTTTTAACGTTTCTTGAAGACTAGGAAAATCAGTGGTGGAGGCGAGTGAGAGGGAATCCTGTCTGGTCCCCATAAGCTAGTTAAAACTTCAGGTAACCTGACTAACAATTCCTTGACAATCGTGCACGTGGTCCTGTTGTCCTTTCTGTTTTCAGATTACTTACAGCTTCCTTGATTTCCAGTGTTGAGGATCCTTCCTCAATGCTTTATTTATGATCCGATTGGATAGCGGAGCTTCTGTTCGAAATATCCCGCTCATTGTTCGAGTCATCTCTCTTGTGAGTTCATGATTTCTTCTAGAGTCTTGTTAACCATCAACATTTCTGTTGTGGTTTTCGTGATACGTCTAACTGTCCACTGTTGACTGTTGCCGTGGAATGCGTCCACGCACATGTAACATAAGGATAGATAAAAGGAGTGTATTACTGAGACTTTTCTTAAGAAATAACCGTATATCTTTGTAGCGGTTTTGATAGTTTCTCTAAACTTCTAAAACGAAAAATAGTATGGTTTCTGTAAGATAACATTTTTTAGTGCTATTTTCCGACATATACTAAAGAATATGGGGGAAGAGATTGTAAATATAGCAAGTACTCATCCAAATCAGACAGATACTATCTTAAAAAATAAACACCATTCTGATAAGGAGAACGTTCGATAGCTAATCCATTTTTACATTTTCACTCTTTTTGGCAACCAAAACAATTTGTAAGTTAATATTTGCAACTCATATTGGAAGTGAAGGCCATACAATTAATGTTAGGATATTGCGTACACCATTTGTTGCAAGCAGTAACGAAAATATTACCAAATGGAAAAACAGAACTTAGGTGAGCCACAAAGGTGGGGGAGGGGGCATTGAAAACAATCAACGAAGAGTGTATTACGTTAATTTAAATAGCTATAAAATACTATATTCAACATACTTCAAACGACTGATATGGAGCAGATGACATGTCAGTTGTCGTCGGAATTTCTTGCGGTCTTGGCTTCTCTTCCAATGCATCCATTGATAAAGGACTTGGAGCGAATTCCTTGGGAGGAACTCGTTGGATTGGACCTGAACTCCAATTAGCTGTACTTTGATCAGGTCTATAGAACTGACTTGATGATGATTGATTAGTTCTGCTGCCAGGTGTTGATGAAACTTGATCATACTGTTGTTTATGATATGGTACAGCACTGGAATTCGATGATCCCGGAGGCGAGACATAGCCCATGTTTGCTATGAAGATTGAAAAGAAATTAAGAATGCAATTGCCATAGCAGTCCATTTTACGCATATTTCTCATTAACTGTTAACATGATATTGAAGTGACTAAAGGTGGTCATTACAAACACTGAAATAACCGATCCGGTTTCATTATTTCAGCTAGAGAGATAGTTTTTTATAGAATAAAGAAACTTGATTGGCAATTTTACTTATCAGAGTTGCTTGTAAAGTCACTAATGCTATTTAATCATGTAAATAAGACTCAAGTGTGTTGAAATGGTTACGGAAAAAAGAAGGAGACTTTTCACCGGTTAGGGTTGCAGAAGTCAGTGCTACGATTCAATGTGGAAACCTTTCCGTCTTATTTCTATTCTATCAAATACAGGTAGTGACTGAAAATGTACAGAACATAACCCACACACTTTACCCGATACATGTTTACAACACCATAGACTAATATATCTTCTTTATTTAACGTAATACACCTAAAGTGAACAATATTCATTCCGTGATTCCAGTTAGAGTAAGCAGTTATCTAAAGTATGCTGGAAATACCTGTAACTTTTTTGTTTCCGCTTTATCTGAACACTCCGATCTCACAACTATTGCATACAAAATAGTTCGTGGGTTTGTTACAGGCTGATCACCTGCAGTTAATGAACATTACACCACACACAGTTCATTTATCATACTAATATTAACGAATAGTTAGCTAGCTACATTTCAAATATATGAGGGAAGATATGTGAAGAAAGATCACTTAAAAAAATCAATCATCATGATGAAGGAGATTCAGCTAGGTGGTGGAATTACTAAATAAGGAAAACAAAATATGTCTGAAATGTAATATACAAGACCTCACTTTATAACAGCATAATCTATACTCATACGTAGCATAGCTAATAGATGGAAATACAGTTCGGCTTAGGTTTACAAATACAAACATAGGCAAAATAAAGGAAGAAAGTGACAATAAATAGAGGACTATGCACTTCACGACATAATACAAAGGAAAAAACCAGAATAATAACAACAACATTCATAAAACCCTTAATTGAATTATTTTTATTAAAGATGCAATCTGTTCATTAGTCAGTTAAAAGCAAGAAACTAGTAAACGAACAAATGTCTGAAATTCGCCTCCCTCTCTTTTGGTCTATATTGGCATTTAATTGCTACATACGTGTACATATATATATATATATATATATATATACAACACTCCCAGGAAGTAGGCTATTCTATTCATAGGCTCAGGAAAAAGAGATGAGATGAATAATGTAGACATTCTTCAGATGTATTGTGGAATGATAAGGTTTCCCTCACTTATTTCTATTTTTTTGCATTACATACACAAACTGTAACTAAAATACATTCATCAATTTGTTTTTCCTCGATGTTTTTTGGCTTTGTGCCTTCTGCATTTTTTTGAAAAGGTATGCAAATGTCAACAAGAGTTCTTGCTAGAAGTATTTTCTATGAATGTTTGACAGTGCTTTAAATATGCATATTTGTTGAATTTATGCCAGGTAGATCTTTACCTCCACCTTTATAGTTAAATATTGTTGTAACAGTTGAAAATAAATGGATAGGTGAATGTTGAAAAAGAACAAGGTAGAGCTATATACAAATTGTGGCGAATATTTGTAGCTCGGGGTGTGTGTTCAAAATGACTTCTTCTTCGAACTAGAGATTTAGTTGGCAAACCTTTCAATGTCATGCTAGGAGTCGTCATTATAAAGCTCTGATGCACTGATGACGATGTCCAGTATGACATTGAAAGGTTTGCCAACTAAATCTCTAGCTCAGAGAACAATTGACTCAGAATACAGTTACAAAAATCTGTAACTTTACTCATCTGAACAGTAACTAATCTCCATTTCAAAACAGAAATTTCTAATTCATCCTATTAAAGCCACTTTAGAAATGCATGTACTTAAGTAGTCATAATTAACGGTTTGCGTTCCTCATAAGCTAGTCTCAAAATTATTTAAGGGATATATTAACAACATAATCAGAATTATATGAATCTTGGAAAACTTCACTTGTCTAGAGAGACTAACGTCATGCTGAAAGTGAAGACAAGTACTAAGCTTTTAGCCCTGAGAAGACATAATTCTGAAGCCTAATTGAAAGTTTTATAAAATATTTTTGGATTAGTTTTTGGCACAATACAATGCCAAAGACGTTTAGTAGCAACATGAGTGATTTTATCAAGTGAGTAGGAAAATAAATATGAACACGATGAACCTCTAATAGATTAAAATATCTTGAATATTGTAGGTTAAATAAAAAATATTATGTAATATAGGAGTACTCCAGACCTAAACGCAAGAATACTTGCATCCTGTTTACTCATCGTTAAAGTATTCTAGTGTGATATGAATTAATGAACTGAGTAGTTCAGAACCCCAGGTAGTAATCAATGGTGAAACGATCACCGGATCTATTAAAAAGATTACACTTCCTTTGATACACTGCACTAAATACAAATCCAATTATTTTTAAGCTCTTCAAATTTAAATTGTGTATTATTGAAGCTCAATGAAAATTATCATCCATTTTAACTTATTAAGTTTGAATAACTAAAAAGTAAAATAGATAAGTTATATTTAAGCAACTTACTGCTAGTTCCATTACTGCTAGTGTAACTAAGCGATACAGGTTCGAAACGTACAGAATTCTGATATCTTGCAGGTGGACTGGTACTCTAAAACAGAAAGTTAGACAGAGTTTAAGCAGTATTTCTACTGGATACGAAAAAAAGAGCTCATATACGAAGGCATTATTGAACTGAAAACTAATATTTGGTGATTAGGTACATAAATGTCACGTAATAAAAATTTGATCATCAAATAACTGCATATTCTTAAGTACGAGAAAAAGCTGAACAAAAAGCATTCATATGATGACCAAGAGTTAGTTTTCATTGGTTGAAGTGTAATAGAAACCCAGCCAGCAGTTGAGTAAAGTTACGGACCATCAACCCGCAAACCATTCAGGTGAATCCGTTTGGTTTAGTATAAACTTAAACCAACACCGGGCTGATTAAATTCAAAGGTATTCAATTGCTTACAGCTTGATGCACACTTTATTGCCTTTTATGATGGTGAAATAATGGTAACCTCTAAGCTCTGTAATAATCAGGCAACTGAGAAGTAGAAATGAATATGAGAAATGAGCGAATGTAAAATTTCCATGACAAGCTAAAATGAAGTCTATTTGATTCAACTAGATAGAATGAAATGGTTTTACAGCGCTAACAGCAATAGATATTTAAGAATTTCTTCAAGAATGACAAATTAACAACCCTTTGAAAGCAGCAGAAATGATTTATACACGGCAAGTGAAAAAGAAAACGACAAGCTAGTTGTTCAAAAGTGTACAAGATAGATTTTAAAAAGCTAAAGGAAAACAGTCATCTTTCAAGAGGTTTCTATATCCTCGAAAGTAACAGTAAATAATTACCCTACACACGGTGTACAAGAAAAAAAGGAATTGAAAAAAATGGGCTCGGATAAATGCACTGTCAGTAGTAAAGCGTTGTCCAACTAAATGACATTTGACAGTAGCTTAATTATACTCTTACATGAATTGCTTGGATTAGCAATAGAATGAAATTCAGTTATTCTATAGATTCCTTTTATTTGATGAATGTGGAAAAGTAAGAGAGACTAGATTTGCAGAATAAAACGGTCGCGTTGCACTTAGTGCATATGCTTCCCCTGCAGGCTGCCTGAAATCCCAGTGGTTAGTGGAATAAAATAACGTCAAACAATGGCATATACAGTATTGAAATTTAGAAAAGCCAAAACCGTGGAGATACGTTCGACCATCAACCAGTATGTCTTTGGTTCAAATACAATGCCGCCTGCTTCAACCTAGATAACAGCAGTATAATAGAACCTCACGCTATAAGTTTGGCTCATAACGTAGTGCACAGACGCATGTAGAAAGCTGAGATTCATTATTTAATTGATCCAAATATTTAGAAAACTGACAACACAGGTATTAGCTGAAAATACTTGCCAGCTTTAAGTAATGAAGCAATAGGTTTGAGAGTTGTAAACAGGAAGAAAAATTAACAAAAAATGAACTATCGATAATAATGATAAATTATGAAACGCAAAAGAAAGGGTTCAAAGGGTTAAAACCTACTCAGTCAATGGAAATCAGTAGGCAAGTAAAATGAAAGCTTAAGCAATAAAAAAACATAGACAGATCAAAATAGTCATCAAGAGAGTAAGAGATGGATCATACTTTATTTCTATGTGTAAGGGTCCACTGAAAAGCTTTTCAATAGCAGTCGCTCAAGTTAAAGGAACTAATTTTGGCATTCTCTGTACGCTCAGCATCTTAAAAGTGTCAGGATTATCAACACAATTTTCCATATCTACAAGCATTCTGGTCGGAATTTCGGTTCCCTTCTAAACAAAACTCCTCGGAGTATGCTCAGAAAGATGAATGAAAGCTATACTTTCAGTCTTCCCAAGGTATTTAGTATTGCAAGTGCTTGTTAATTCGTAAGCGAAAATGAAGGCAATGTGAGCAGGATATTTATGCACCTTGGACTGGTCAAGTGGACATATTGTTTTATATAGTGATTCAAGCTTAGTTGCAGCGAAATTTATGAGTGTTCTTTTGAACTTTCGTTCCGTTTTTCTAGTTATTGCATCTAAATTAAATGCATGACAAGAAAACCTTTTCCAATTTTTAGTAGTTAGGTGTTTACTTTTTCGATTTATTCTTATCCATAAGTCAAGAGACACTTTACAATAAGACCTAACCTTTCTAACATGTTCGCCAAACATACATTCTTGGCTCTGCTACTAAACGTTTTGACTAGTTGATGCTTATAGCTGACAACCAAAGCGAAATCCAAGAAGTAATAGAATATTATTCGAATATAATAGGGGGAAATCGACATCAACACATTTACAGAATGAAAATGAGAAGCCTTCAACGTGTTGCACAGTTGAAGAGATCTCAAAACAACCATCACAGACAATAAATAGGGGGGAAGTTCAATAAATGACTATAAATGCCAATGGTATTGTTTCTTTTATAACCAACAGGACACTAGTAATGCAAAGAAAGGAACATGCTAACTTAGTGTGTTTTGCGTAATGTAACATACAGTTACACTTTGTGACATCTATCCTGTAAAGGGACGATTTCTTTTCGAAAAACTGAACTGTCTGTTCATTCGCATTTTCATATTAAAGAACACAAGATGCATGGTCAAATTTTCTAAGTCCATATAGACTCGAAAATCAAAGTTATTCATATATTCTAGTAGGTGATCAGTTATGACTTCCGAATCCTATTTTTAAAGTTCTAAGGTAAAGCACATTTGTAACATTCGAGAAATCTATTTTCCAGTAAGTGTTTAATGAAAAGGACTGGTTATATTAAGCAAGCTATACAAACACTTCACTTCCTCTACAACAAAACACATAAGCAAACAAAGTTTTAATTTCAGTAATTTATTTCTCTTGTGTCAAAAATAACTTCCGTTAACAATAACAAATGTTTACCAGAAGCAAAATACCAATTTTCGAATCGTTCAATCATTCAATTGGTAATATGATTTTCACTGGAAAACTACATAAAATGCACATTTAATCTTATCAATGCAATCCTATATAAGTGAGATATTGGTACTGAAAAGGTTTCGATTTAGCAAAAACTTTTATTTTAAAAGTAGAATCATAAAAGTTTGTTCAAGCGATAATCTATTTCACTACGTAACCAAGTATATACGAAAGGTAGGCAGAGAGTAACAGTGGTCACGTGAAAAAAGTGTGCACTAAATACACAGTAACAGTTTAGAACATTCACGTGTTGCTTCTTCATTAACACATTAAAATACGGTCAGGGAAGATTTATGTACGTTTATTTTTTTGAAAGAAGGAGATATTTAACAAATCAACTCATGAAACATGGAAACGGAAAAACATGAAAAAATGTGCAATCTACGAGGATGGAGAAAATGTCAAGAATCTATTTTGAGGTAATGTCCCTGAAGACAAAAATAGCCTGCAAAGCAATCTATTCTCATCATAACTTATAAGTCTGCATATACATTGAGGATATAAAAAAGATGTTGGATCACTGTACAAACAAGGAATATATATGAGGATTTCGGTCAATAAATGTTTTGGTTGTATATATTCAACTGATGACTATCTAAAACAGTATACAATAATTCAGTCTTTCAGAAAAGGATAACACTAGGAATGAATGAGAAGTTTGTCCAGAAGCTTGGAATGTCATTGTTTTATAATGGTCGAAGATATTTTACTCATTTTCATTCACTTTCTAACCACAACTCCTAAACGTTGATTACTTTTACTGGAAACATCTTTGTCATTTTATTTCTTCCTGTACTTTCTCCTCGGATTCAGTTAAATGATAGTTACTTAAACTACTGTAATAAAATGAACAATATATGAAAACTTTAGGAAAACGTGAGCACGTTATTACTTCCTAGTAAAGAAGCGCATAGTCTGGAAAAAGCCTGTTCATATGTTTGAAAAACTCATCAGCATGCTGTTTATCCCAAACTGTCACTGATAGTCAAGTTTATGCTTCATGAAATTGAATGATGAACCCTTAGCTTTTTAATTGCATCCATTAAGCTTCTGTTCACTGTAAAATGAATCAATTTACTACAGCTTTTTAAGAATGACTTGTTACTTTCGGTAAACACATTTAATATGCTTCTAATTTATATGTAGGATAAATTTATTTCACTTTTGGCTCGAAAAAATATTGTAACATATTTGAATAACTTTACCTCGCATTATTTATATATCATACTTTTGGTCATCGCATTTTTTAGTTGATGATAAACAATAAAACTCATAGTTAACAGTTACGCAACATTCTATCACTAATCCTCTCTACCTAAAGGGTTAACTCGATATAACTTTAGAGGATTACAAACAGGCGTCCATGTTAAATACTTTATGGTTAGCCGTCAATCAGAGTTTGCATATATTGCGTTAGAAATAGGTGATGAGAATCATCCGCTGAAAAACTAGTCTTTCTCTAGCTTTCTTATACAAAAATCAAATGTTTAATGTAGTAGGTCACTGAGTATCTGAATGGTACAGTTTAATACCATTTATTCTCCCCTATAAACATGCCGATATCAATCAAAAAATACCGGTAGGAAATACCATACTAAAAAGTATTTTTGTCCCACAAAGATACATTTGTGGTCGAACCAAGATGTGTGCGAGATTTGACCATAGTATTCGTCATTGAATTGAGGGTGATTGTCCCAGGCTCTGATAAAATTTGTCCTTGATTGTGGAAATGAAGAAGTGCTTTGTCACAGTGACATATGACACCGAAGGATAGTATACGTTCACACTACGCAATAAGAGACGTTGAAAATATAGTATGGTACAATTTGACTGAGTTAATAGGTGATGTGTGGCTTACAGAACCGCTCAGTATTGGACAAAAATTGTAGGTCGTTGTCCTCAAATAAAATGAAGCAGTTGTCTTATAAGCTCAGTTTTTAATTTGCCTTCCTATTCGTGCTCACCTAAAAATGACACATTTCTCTAACTACATTGATATATCTACGTTGAAGTGACGTGAAGTGGACTTAATTTTTTCCAGAAAGCTACAAAAGGAATAGACAAGAACACGCTTTGTCATTGTATACTAAAGCTATAATCCAGGTTTTATGGAAAG